ATGTGTACAGCTGCCCATAGAACCTCTCAATCTCACTCAAAATCTCAGGTGTCCCGGAAACGATGCTGCCACACTCAGTCTTCAGCCTTGACAGTTGGCTCTTTCTGGCAGACAGATCTCTGGCAAAGACTTTGGAGCCCTGGTTCCGCTCGATCGCTTCTTTAATACGAGCAGTATTAAAGTTGCGTAAGTCTCGCCGCATGCATTTGGAGATCTGTCTGTTCAGTTGCCTGTATGCTGTCAAATCTGTTGACGATTGCAGCCTCATCTCCCGTCTAACAGCCATGAGATTAAGAGTGTGATCGGAGAGTTTTTGTGTTCTTCTGCGGCGGGTCTTGCAGAACTTAGCTCCGACCGCATGGACAGTTTCCACGAGCTTGTCATTCATATCGTCCACTGCATTGCAATCTTGTAGGCACTGAAAGCGGTTGTGTAACTCGAGCTGAAAGTTTTCGGGATTTTGGATCAGAGCACGAGGGGGACGGAGCGTTGACTTCATTAGACGAGACCTCTCCAACTTAACGTTTAGGTTCAGTGTGCCTCTAACCATTCGGTGATCGCTGCCAGTTTTCACCCTTGCGATCACTGAGACATCACTGAACAGTTGGCGTCTGGTCGTCATAATGAAGTCAATCTCATTTTTTGTCGAACCGTCGGGGCTCGACCAGGTCCACTTCCTGTGGGGCCGCTTCTGGAAGAAAGAGTTCATCATAAAGAGTCCCTCTTTCTCCATAAAGTCGGCCAGCTGCTGGCCCCTTCGGTTCCGTTGCCCTACTCCAAATTTCCCTAACTTCAGCTCACCGCTTTCTCTTGTGCCTAGTTTTGCGTTGAAGTCTCCCATCAACACCGTGTAGTGGGTTTTGGAGGAATGTATGGCTTTGGAAATATCCTCATACATTTCCTCCACCTCCTCATCGGAATGTGCCGACGTTGGTGCGTAAACCTGTATGACCTTCAGCGAATACCGTTTGGTGATTCTGAGTATCAGGTACGCGACCCTCGTCGACACACTCTCAATCTGTACAACGTTGTTGACGAGAGACTTGTGGACGATAAATCCGACACCTCCTTGGGACAGATGGTCGCCCTCCCGGTGATAGAACAAGTTGCCGGATTCGAGAATCACCGTGTCCTCCCCCTCTCTTCGGACCTCGGATAATCCTATAATACTCCAGCGCAACTTGTCTATCTCTTCTTCCAGCTCCAGGATCTTCTCGTCAGTCCTCAGTGTGCGTGCGTTAAATGTTGCCAGGTCGAGTCGTCGTAGGTGGCAACCGAACCTCCACCGGAGATTCTTAGCACCCCCCTGCCCCGCCGTTACCATGGTCGCCACCGTAGCCAGGAATAGCGGGGCCGCCGGGGACTGGGGGCCGTCTATTTGTGTAATTGTTCATGGGGGGTATATTGCCATAGTTGCCACGCTTGGCGAGCGGGTTGGCAACCGCAGTTTTTTTTTGTCGTACAGTTTCTGTTATCAGGAAGATGCTGCTGCCCATCTCCTGCCTGTCTCCCTCTGTCGCCTCTTACGACACCCACGGGAAGATATGGGGTAGTGGATATTCTTAACCGCCACTACACGGCTGGTGTCAAGCATACCGTCCGTTATTACACCGATCGCGGAACCCCGGTATATGCCTGTTTCCTGGACCTATCTAAGGCTTTTGACCTTGTGTCATATGACTTGCTTTGGAGGAAGCTTGGTGATAGGGGTGTACCAGTTGGAGTTCTAAATATATTAAAGTATTGGTATGCCAATCAGACCAACCTTCTACGATGGGCAGACTCTCTTTCGGAATCGTACGTGTTGGAGTGCGGGGTGAGACAGGGGGGGATTGACGTCTCCTGGGCTCTTCAACGTATATCTAAACGATCTCATCGTGAGGCTGAGCAGCATGCGTGTTGGGTGTCGGATTGATGGCGTCAGTATAAACAGCATAAGCTACGCAGACGATATGGTGCTGCTTAGCCCCACGGTGGGTGGTCTGAGGGAGATGCTGAATGTCTGTGAGACGTATGCTGCTAGGCACGGGCTTACATACAATGTAAAAAAGACGGAATACATGATCTTTGAGGCTGCTGGTAAATGTCCCAATAATACAACAAATATTACCCTTAATGGCGTGAACATCAAACGTGTGACTGAGTTTAAATATCTGGTTCATGTCATTACTAGCAGCCTCAAAGACGATGATGATATTGAAAGGGAGCGAAGGGCTCTGGCGGTTAGAGGTAACATGTTGACTCGCAGATTTTCTCGCTGTACAGAAGAGGTTAAAGTGACGCTATTTAAGGCATACTGCCAAAGCATGTACACGGGAAATCTGTGGGTCAAACATACCAAGAAATCGCTAGATACTCTTCGAATCCAGTATAACAATGTCTTCAGGATGATGTTGGGCCTGCCGCGGTTTTGCAGTGCATTGCATTGCAGTTTGAGGAATACCAAACTGATGGCTTCGATGCCATCATTCGTAAAAAAACGAGCTCCCTGATTAGCAGAGTGAGGAACAGTTCCAATAGCATCCTGAAGACATTAGCAAACCGATTTACTTCTCCAATTTGGAAATGCTTTGTGCAAAGAGTGACGATCACGGGAACATACCCTTTCCTCTGATGGTCACTTATAGTAACAAATATAACTGTAGATAATTAATTTATTATTATTATTGTAATGAGTATAATTTTCAATCCCAATTAATAATATACTAACATATTCTGTAAGCTATTTTTACTAACACAATATGGATGTACAAGTTGTCCGAAATAAATGATTTATTATTATAGTGGGGTATCTATATAGTTCTCATCTGGTTGGGTTCTATAAATATATAATTATAAATGAAAATGAAAAGATAAATATACATAAATATCAATAACATAAAATAAATATAAAAGTACATAAATAAATAAAAGCCCAACCAGATGGAGGCCCTCGGCAGGGGAGACCAAACGGCTGAGGGTTAGGGGGAAAGGGGAAAGAAACCGGCGGACGATGCGGGCGGTATCGAGGAGCACCGCCTTCTGCATTTGAGCCTGGAGCGGTCCGCCACGTAGTCCCAGCCGCCTCAGATGACCCAAGAGGCTGACTGGGATTAGCCCATTCGCAGAGACGACTACAGGAATAATTTCGGTCGGCAGACCTCCCCACATGTCAGTCACCTCGTGAACCAGGTCCAGATATTTTGTTTGCTTATCTCTTTCGGCTTTCACAAGGTTCTCGTCATACGGAACGGTAATGTCGACCAAAAATATCCCTGACTGTGCCCGGTCCATCAGCACAATATCAGGCTTATTCGCAAGAATAGTCCTGTCTGTGATGATGGCCCGGTCCCAATAGAGCCTGGCGCGATCATTTTCGAGCACGGCTTCCGGCAAGTACTTGTAATACGGCAATTTCCGATCCACGAGACCGTATTTCAGAGCGAGCTCCTGGTGTAGAATTCTGGCTACTAGGTTGTGCCTGTGCAAGTACTCAGAGTTAGAAAGCGCCGAACAACCGGAGATAACATGCCTAAGTGACTCACCGGGATGGCGACAAGCTCGACAGATGTCGACGGTGCCATCCTTTAGGATGTATCTCCGATAGTTGTTGGTCTTAATAACCTGATCCTGTATTGCACAGACAAAACCCTCGGTTTCCCCGAAGAGATCACCAAAGCGTAGCCAGTGGAGGGAGGCTACTGTGTCTACGAAAGGCTCATGTAGAGCCTTGTAGAACCTCCCATGGAGCTCCTTCTCCTTCCATACGGTCTCCCGGTCGGAAATGCTCTGCACTGCCGGGTCTTGCCATTGCTCGTTGGCTAAGGATAGAGCGGTAAGTCCTTTATCACAAGAAATGACGTCCTTATAGAATGGATCATCCGATCTCGCCAGGAAGTAATCACGGAGGCTGCACACTTCGCGATTATGCATGGTGAGCGCGCTCAAGAAGTCACGACCACCATGCTTCCGCGGCAAGTACAGCCTCATTACCGACGATCTCGGATGATGCATCCTATGGGACGTCATGGTAGTGCGGACTTTTCTATTCAGGGCGTTAAGTTCAGTCTGAGTCCACCTAAGTATGCCAAAGGTATACATGAGGACAGGCATGACCCAGCCGTTATATGCGTGTGCCTTATTCACACCGGACAAAAGGCTGTTAAGCACTTTGGTCAAGCGTGCATAAACCACGTCGCAAACTGACTGTTTCATACCAGTCTCATCGATACCGATGTTTTGTGACATACCCAGGTATCGGTATGTTTCAGCCTCGGAAAGGGTTATTAAGTTGACGGGCATAGATAAGTCTATGCCCTCAGAGTTAGCAACCCTTCCCCTTTCAACATGGAGGACCGCACACTTATCCGTCCCAAGCTCCATTCCAATGGAATTGCTAAATTCACAAGTGATGTTTAGCAATTCCATAAGATGGGAGCGACTGGAGGCGAATAACTTGAGGTCATCCATATAGAAAAGGTGGTTCACTTTTGTCCCTCCTTTCCGTAGCTGAAATCCCCTCCCGGAGCCCTCCAGTAAGGTACTGAGAGGGTTCAGAGAGAGGCAGAACCAGATTGGACTCAGACAATCGCCCTGGAAGTTACCCCTTCTTATCCTTATGTGGTTCTCCGCAGCCATCATCCGCTCGCCCAGATGACAAAGGATCGTACTCCACTGCCCCATACACTGCTCGAGGAAGTCTCTAACTGTACAGTCTATCTTGTACAGCTCGAGGACTCTCTTTAGCCATGTATGGGGCACCGAGTCGAATGCCTTTCTGTAGTCTATCCAGGCGGCGGAGAAGTTCCGACGGTTGCGTTTCACCACTTTGCCAATGACTGCGTCAATGAGGAGTGGTTCCTTGGTTCCACGACCACCGCCCCGACATCCATTTTGAGCGCGCGACATCACCTGATTTGAGTTCAGGTGACAAGTGATTCTCGCGCTCAAAATGGATGTTAGTGTCTTGTATATGGTGGGTAGACAAGTGATGGGGCGGTATTTGCTCGGGTCTGTGGTACCCTGGTCTTTAGGAACCAAATGAGTGATCCCAGTAGTGAAGAGGCTTGGGAGCGACTTCTGGTTGAGAGCCTCTTGAACCTGTCGGACGAGCACAGAGTGACACACCATGAACCCCTTCAGCCAGTAGTGATGCAGCCCGTCAAGCCCCGGACTTTTCCAGTTCGGGGCCCTACGGACCGCCTCAGCTACGTCATCCGGCGTTATGATGACGGGGTCCATGGGCGTAACACCCGCACACTGACTCGCCACAACTTCCGTCCAAGGGCCCTCGCTGTGGTTTACGGGCTCTGACCACAGGCCGCGCCAGAATGCTACAGTGTCGGCCTGATTCGGTGCTGGACCCGTTCCACTTACCATTGGTCGCTCCAATGATTCATAGAGCCTCTTCCGATCACTCTGGAAGAGACGATTCTGGTTGAACCGTGTCGACCTCTCGGTATATCGCCGAATCCGCTTTCCCCAAGCAGCGATTCTCTGCTTCAGATCATCTATGCGCTCCGTCAGTTTTTGCGTTATATCCGGCTGGAACAAACTGACATTTGTCCCAGCAAACGCCATCCTGACGGTGCGCACAATTCTTGGCCTGTTGATGCCTGATCTGAAGCATATCAGTCTGCCGATGAGAGCTCTAGCCTTTGCGATACGTTCCTCAATTCTTCTTCTCCATGCTGGGATAGCGCTACTATGGCCAGTAGCGCGTCCAGCCGTGGAAACCTTGGCGCCTATGATACGGCAGACTGCCAGCGCGGCGCCAAAAAGAATTGAGTCCGTCTCGCAAAGGTCCCGGCTGGCTTCCAAATAGGTCACCAGCATTGGGTTCAGAGCCCTCACGACACCCCGATTCCGCTTGCTTAGGGCTATGCGGGGAAGTCGCGGTCGATTTTCAAGAGGCGTACTGCGCGTTTCCACAATCGCCTCTTCCAATGTACTCCTCATATGCTCTAATTCCAGTTCCCGGGCGACTGTTCCATCATCGTTTGAATCAACCACAACTGGGGTATTCACGGCAGCATCCACGTTTGCGGGTTGCTCTACCATTTGTGGTGCCGCATCCTCAGCCGTAGCATTCTCATCCGACGAGGGAAAAGCCTCACATCGTAGCCGTTCGAGTTCGGCGACATCAAATATATTTGAGCGCAAGATATACCGAACTCGATCTGCCAGGTTTTGCTCTGTGACGGTTAAAGATAGCTCCAGCTCAGCAAAAAGACGATGCATCCTAGCCCGATACGCCAAACATCCAGTTTCTTCCCCTTTCGCCCTAAAGTACGCCCGCAGTGCGTTTGCATTCATTGCTTGTGACCAACGCATGCGACGTGCTCCACCAGCGGCGGGTGCCGCTTGCTGAGTCCGAGAAGACCCAGCCGACACCAAGCCTTCTGGTGGGGATGATGGATGCGGAGGGCTGCTAGGTGACCGTGCAGCTCCTCGCGCTCGGCTGGCTGCCCGCATGCTGCCGCGTCCAGCGCCAGCTCCAGACGCGCCCCGGCGACCCCCAGGCAGCGGCTTCTGCGCACTATCTTCTTATACATCATCCATTATTTGGGCGTCCATTAACGGGAGACGCCCAGGCCCGGCACCGTTTCGTGTGTAGCCATAAGCACAAACGGGCCTCTGCACCCTAAATTCTGCCGAGGCACGGCGCTCACACCTCTCGCAAGGCGCTGACTGACTGCGTTGACGTAGCAGTTTTGTCACTTAACTGTTACGTCAGCGGGCGATGGGGTCGTCAATTCCCTATTATTAATATTATTATTATTATTACTAAGCAAGCTGATACCACGGTAGTTTTTGCAGTCCTGCTGTGACCCTTTTCCTTTATATATTGGTACTATAACTGCTTTACACCATTCATCCGGTACCCGTTTTAATTCCCAACATAAATTAAACAAGGTGTACAGCAGGCCTGCCACCACTCCCTCTCCAGCCCTTAGCATCTCGAGTGATACTCTATCATATCCAGCTGTCTTACGTGCTTTCATGCTTTTCATTGCTTTCATTATTTCATCTACACTTATCTCCATACCCCTTTCCACTTCTTTCGGAATTTCTAGTTCATTTAATTCAGACGACTCTTCACTCATAAACACGCTTTCAAAGTATTCCTTCCATCTGTTTAAATTCGAAATTTCATCATTCAGAATACATCCATTCTCGTCTCTTATAGCATTAATTATAGGCTGTTTCGTATAAATAAATAAAATAAAAATAAATAAACATATAAAATAACTTAAGAATTACAGTTACCGTTACCGTTACAGCTTATTGAAGTCCACTCCTAAACACATGCCTCATAGGGGGGATATTTGCCATAGTTGCCACACTTGGCAAGCGGGTTGGCAATCGCAATTTTATTTTTAGTCATTATTAGGCAGACGCTGCTGCCCAACTTCTGATTTGTTTCCCTCTGTCGCCTCTTACGACACCCACGGGATGGTATCGGGTAGTAGATATTCTTAAACAGCCACTACAAATATTCAAGGCATGGAGGTTAGAGAACAGGAGAACGATCGCTGTAGAAAATAGTGTCCCAGAAATATGGACAAAATAAGAGAGGTGCTGCGAACGTTAAGTTGTGTCAATAATTTTAATTATTATAAATATTGTAAATTGTTACAAATATAAATTATTAATTATTATTGATTTATAATTATTATTATTTTTATAATATTTCATCATTTTTTAATGTTTATTTTTGTCAAAAATTAAAAAATTAAAAAGTCGCAGACACTACTTACCGACGGCAGCGCGGCTATAAATTCTATAAAATTTTCAGTTACAGGCGGGCTATGCTTTAGCACGTAGCGATCACTGTCCTGTTCTCTAACCTCCGTTATTTAAGGATTATTGACATCTTTTTTATCATATTACGTATTATGACAGTACAAAAAAGTTTTTTTTAACGAAATTGATATGATTAAAACTACTTTTACGGATTTTATCGCGTTTATTTTTACTTTTTATTTTTAATTCCCGACGTTTCGGACGCTTTCCAGCACCCATGGTCACGGGGGACTGAGATGACTGACGTCCCGATGTCATTGTTAAACCCGGAGTACCTTCAGCTTTTTTAATTATTGTTTATGGTCCGATCTATGCAAAATGAACTGGCTATGTCCTGAGGTCTTGCAGTGGTATGCTTGGGTTTAGTTTTAATTTTATTGATTATAGGATCCCAAGCAGGTGGTAGTACCCAGCCTCCTTCTCTATTGAAATTAGGATGTTTTTAATTTCAATAGCCTCACGTATCATCCTTGGTAGGAATCGGTGTTCTTTCGCGAGGATTTGTGGTCTATCAAATCTGATGTAATGGTTGGGGCCGTCTAGGATATGATCACAAACTGCAGACTTCATGTGAAGCATCAACGTTCCGGGAAGTCTAAGTCGTTCCGTTAAGTCGTTCCGTAAGACGTTCCGGGAAGTCGATAAAATCCGTAAAAGTAGTTTTAATCATGTGCAATGTTCGCGTAAATATAAGAAATCATAACGAAATTGATAATTGAATATACAGTCCACCTGATGGTAATTGGCTTTTAAAACTGTGAACGTTTACAACCGATTGCAAACAAAGAAGGCTAAAGATGCGTTGTCCTCTTTTAAGACTAAAATGGAAACCTCAGACCGTGTAAATAAACTGGCTCTTTATAACCTTCAGACTAGAACACTGTAGTGAAGGCATATTGCTATTTGGCGCCCGAAATAGATAAAAGAATGGCACTTAGCAGACGGATATATGGTGGACATCTACGCAGAAAGGGAACCACATAGTAGGTAAATGAGTGCGGGTGCTTTAATTCACTCTTACTCATTTGGTAGCCAATTATAATCAGGTGATAAGTGGGCTGGTTGTTTTCTCGCTCAAAGGCTAAGTATAGCCATTGAGCGAGGAAACGCAGCCAGCGTGCTTGGCACGATACCACGGAGAGTATAAGACTGTATGACAATTTAAATTTTTAGTTTTAGTCTTTCTTTACTATAGTTTTTTAGTATTGTGTGTAACCTTTTAATCAGATTTAAGTTTCTTAACATATAATCAAATTACAATATTATAATTTTAAAAAATAAGTTTCTTTTGTTTTCGTTACAAAAGAATCGGTTTTATTTAAAGAATTCGATTTGGAATCGATATTTACTTTTTATCGAGATATTCAAGACGATGACTCACACTGATGTAAAAAGCAATAGAACCGATCATTAGACTATGGGATAAGCGGACCCATCGAAATGTCTTCCAAATGGGAACATAAGCCTATAGGGGTAGGCAGAGACTCGCACTTCCATTTGGCACCGTCCGGTTACACCTCTTTCGTTTCTTTCACATCTATATAATCGTACCTACCTCCACACACATGATCATTTATTAAGAGTACTCTTATTTCGGCCCATCTTCAATATATTGTCAATTAGGTTGTTTCGATAAGCTTCTGTCTAGTGCGTCCTTTGTCGCCTCAGCATCACACATTTTCTGCGTCTTTCTTTCTCTAAAGGGGCAACTAATACAGCATTGTGAATTGTCATAATTATGTGTCTTTTTCAAATACTACTACATACTAACTACCCACAATATCTGTTATGTCTGTTTCACAATAGAGTGAAGAACACTGAGTAAATGGGGCCCTCATTTACTCCGTGTCCTGAATTCACTTCTCACATAATCTAAACACATAAATAAAGTTGGAGTGTCTGTTTTTAATGTCAAAAAGTAGCTCTTAACTAAATGCATAAGAAAGTACCTCGTGTGTTCATAAGTTTTGAGACGAATACAAACAAAAATTATTATGTATTAAATAAAAGTAATTTAATTTAATGCTAATTAATAAGCAAAATGTTGGTCTACAATATTAAAGATAATATAATTATTCGAAATGCCCGCTTCGTTTCTGAATACAGGCCCTTAGGCAGCGCGGCCAGTCAGCTATATCGTGGCACGGACTTATTCACGGTATTCGCTTTGATTCCTTGACCAAGGTGCGCTTCGATGACTCCAGGTTGGGGTGAGTTTTTCGGCAGGCCCTGAGCTCCAATTCTGCCCATAAAGCGTAATCTAGCGGGTTAAAGTCCGGGCTTGATGATGGCCCCTCCTCCGCTGTGATGAGCCCTGACAAATTCTCCCTAAGCCCATTTTGTGTTGATTTGATTTTGTGTGACGGTGCTGAAACTTGTTGAAAAATCCAAAGTTTATTATCGAAAAGGGTAGTGGACATCGGTTTTACTACCGCTTCCAAATTGTCTTTTAGATAATTTTATGCCTTAATTTTGACCCCAGGTTCACAAAAATGCAGTGCAGTGACCCCTCATAAGAAACACCCCACCAAACCATAACATACGCAGGGTGATGTGCCTGAGAAACATTTCTTGCCGCAGCTGGGATATCTTTTGAGGTTCTGGCGTAAATTTTATCGTTCTGTCAGTAAAATTTTTCTTCCACAGTAAACACTTTCTCATCTATGAAGAGAATTTTTTTTTGCATCATGTCTCTTCAACAACATTCGACAGCGATCGTACCGCAATTGGCGAAGGCGATTGTTGAGATAATGAACTTTTCGTCGACTGTAGGCCTTTACTTTAAGATCATATTTCAATATCCTATTGATAGATATTCCTGATATGTTCGTCTGAATAGCCAGCTTCGGTGGCGAAGCTTCCATTAAAGCTGAAAAGCCGGGCTTGCTTTATTAAACCTGAATCAATCAATAATATCAACTAATAAAATAACTCGTAAAATGTTTCAAGCTCTTTCAAATTACCCGCGCACTCCACTGTTCGACACATGTTGACCGATGACCTCGTATTGCCTTAGCGATACTGCTGCTGTCATAAAAAATGAGTTTTAATAGAGCTAATAGTTGTCTCCCTCGCTCGCGTGGGCGTGGGGATCTCCGGGTCTCTACACTCACCATACGAACACAGCAGTATTAAGCTGCTATTTTATGCTAGCATTGTGTTGCGCTGGTATCCAGAGTGTGGTCCTTCCCCGGTCGAGCCAACTATAATATAGCTGCAGCGTGGCTCTACCAAGTATATATGTTTTGGAATACCATCCAGACAATAACTTTGCACATTATATGTTCGTGTTGTTTTTTTTTTTGGTGTTATTTATTTATTTAATATTCTTTATTGCACACCATATAAAAATAGCCGTGGTAGCTCAGTGGTTAACGCTCGCTGTAAATATAACAGAACGCGAGTAACCCGGGTTCGATCCCCCGCCGGCACCAATGACATTGTTAATTGCAATTTTAAGTGCTGATTTACCACGTGCTCGGCGGTGAAGGAAAATATTTAAAGAAAGAAATTAAATATGAGCTCATTCTATTTTCGAAATTTAATTTTTAAAAATCGTCTCAAGACTTATGAACACACGAGGTATATACGATACTAATAACAAAAAAGACAATTTTTAAAATTTTTGTGTCTGTCTGTTTGTTCCAGCTAATCTCCGAAATGGCGGAACAGATTTTGACGGGACTTTCACTAGCAGATAGCTGATATCATAAGAAGTAACTTAGGATATTTTTATTTTAGAAATACAATTAAAGTTCTGCGCAAAAATATAAAAACCCATGAAATTCAAACGTAATAAATTCCAAGCGAACGAAGTCGCTGGTATCAGCTAACTATAGTAAAATGGTATAGTAAATAGTAGTAGTAGTAGTATAATTTAAAAAAAAGTTGTTTCTTCAACAATCATCAAAAACAACACGACATTACGTAATGATAAATTACTAAACTTGTACCAATCAGTCCAGTTAATTTTAAAATAAAAACAAACTCGTCGACTTATAAGCTTATAACACACGTGTATTACCTTAATTATTCCATTTATGATAAACTTGTATCTCGACTTTTAGCTAAAGGTGGCTCCAACACGGCTTTTAAGCATTCTTTACCAATAAAAATAATATCTTATTTATTTACGATGTTAAATTGTGCTCAATTCGGTTAGGAACTCCTACTACAGTCATTTTAACACAATGCAAGTAATATCTTCCAGATACTTATTCCCCCTGAAAGTAAGTACATCTAACCTCGATTAAGAATGAAAATGCAGATGTATTGCAACCCTGAGGACTTTAGAATGCCCCGTTTCCAGTAAAAAGTGTCATTTGATCGTGGCGGCTAGACTCAACGGAGACCAGCCATGATCGCAGAACAGGATTGTAGTGCTACACTCATAGTCCGACCCGATCGGAGAGAGATCACGAACAAGACCAATGGTTTCATACTTTCATGACAAAACAACCAACAACTGATTTCTCGAGTCCTGCTTATGATCACTAAATGGACAAGGAAATCGCGAATCACGATCTCATATCAGAGCCGAACAATTATCTATTTAAAAATACTTTATTTTTAATAGCATGCAAATATTCATTTTGTAATACTATTACATTAAAATTTATTTAAAATCCACTCCTTTCGCTAGTAAAAATCAAACATAAAATGAAAAAAAAATTCCAACTAAAGTCCTATGAAGGTTATCCTCCATAATTTAAAAACTTGTTCACTGAATTAAATGTGTGTTTGAAGAAGCGAGTTAATATAGATTTTTATTTTATACTATATATAATAGCCGAGTCTAGACTTGACCTAGAGTTTCTTTCATAAAAGTCTTCATGCTTTTTGCATAAAATATAAGCCTCTTCATGCTTTTTGCATAATATATAATATATTTTTTTTTACTTATCCAGTAACAGTTTCCACTAATGCTATTCTTTCTGGTACATTGTCAATTATTATTAAGTTTCCAAAAGTGTTAAAAACCAAGCAAAGCATAGATTGTTGAAATGTTGACGATATCTGCTTATTATAGGTATCCTCCATAGATTGCCGCATATAGAGATATTTGGAATATAAAATATTATGTTTTATTTTCATTTATTTATTTAGGTACACATACACACAACAGTCTGGAAGAAATTGCTATCAGCAATCACACCGCCCATTGCATACTTTTTTTGTATATATAATTAGTAATTTTTATATGGTGTGCAATAAAGAATATTAAATAAATAAATAACACCAAAAAAAAAACAACACGAACATATAATGTGCAAAGTTATTGTCTGGATGGTATTCCAAAACATATATACTTGGTAGAGCCACGCTGCAGCTATATTATAGTCGGCTCGACCGGGGAAGGACCACACTCTGGATACCAGCGCAACACAATGCTAGCATAAAATAGCAGCTTAATACTGCTGTGTTTCGTATGGTGAGTGTAGAGACCCGGAGATCCTTTTTTACTGAAACAAGACATTCCATTGTAGTCCTCAGGTGTGACAACGCATCTGGGTTTTGATTCTTAATCGAGGATAAATGTAAATGTCTATGGGCCACAGAATCCACTTAAAGACTATTCTATAAAAAAATATTAGGTTTATTACAGTAGAATGACTATAGAGAAGCATAGAAAATGGGTCGGCTAGACCGGGGAAGGACCACGCTCTCACAGAATACCAGCGTGAAATAGCAGCTCAACGCTGCTATTTTTCGTACGGTGACTGTAAGAACCGGAGACCGGAAACGAGGCATTCCATCTTAGCACTCACGGGTGACAACGCATCTACATTTTAATAATAATAATATCATTTATTCGCTTAAACTTCATCAGAGGTGACAAATATTGCATACATTGTATATAGTCCACATGTTTATCACGTCTGGAATGCGAAAATTATTAATTAAATGAAAAGACATAGTCATGTACCTACATTGATCAATTTAAAACAAATAAATATAAATTAAAAATGTGTAAAACTACAATCATCATTTAAGCAAAAAATTTAAATATACATTATTTAATTAAATCAAATAAAATTAAAATTATAATCGTCATGTCAATCATTATAAATAGTAAAAATTAGAATGTCAAAAGAGTACATATATAAAATCTACGGAACATTACACAAAAAATAGTCTAAAAGAATACAATAATGTCAAATTTAGGATTCTATTCATTTAAAAATTGTTTTACTTCATAAACGCGTTTTAATAGTAGCCAGTTTTTTAGTTTGGTTTTAAATTTACCAGTTTCTGCCTCTTCTTTAATGCTTACCGGAAGTTTATTATAAATTTAAACACTCATCGCGTAACAGCCATTATGATAAAATGCAGTTTTAGGTATACGTTCTATCCTTGTAAGGCCCAACCTAAATTTAGGTCGATATACAATTACGACCTAACGTACTAAAAATAAGTGCAAGTAGTTGCGGCCCAGAAATTTGGTTAAGTACAAAAGTGCGTAAATGTCAAATTATTTTATGGGGTATTTCCTATACCTAAAGTTACCTATTTCACGCAAAAAATATGTTGAAATAGCTTGTCCTTATTTTAGGTCACTGGGCCACTGTTTAATATATAACATTAGTTTGAATCAATCAAATCTATTCAGTTATTTATCATGGAATAGCAAATTATACCAGAAATAAAAAGAAACTTTGTAAAAAAAATATTTATTATTTTCTTCCTTCATTTTAAACCTTATTAATTAATAATTTTATGTAACAAAATTACAAAATTTTCTAAATCAGTCTCATTTTTAGCAAACAATGTATCTTCGCATTACACATGTTAATCATATTACTAAAATAATGTTCTTACTTACTATAATCAATGGCAATATTTCAAATAATAATATTCAAGTTGTCGTATCACACACAATACTAATTAGAAATAGAGATACTTAAAAAAGAAAATTTTAAACAAATGTATCAATCAATAAATCTCAGTATGGAAGTTATAAAAACAATTTCGTTCTTTAGTTAAGCACAAGTGAATGTTGCACTTCTTGGATATAATTGTGCTTTTCTTGTTATATCCTGGTCTTCTGCACCTGTTTTGAACTTCTCCAGCCGACGGCAAATGGAGTGCACCATGAGTTCTTGAACTGGCGCTGGGAAGCGGTACAGCTGGTCTAGAGCGTTTAGGTCGAGACTGTTCTTCGTCTTCTGTTTCGGAACTAATGGTGAAATTAGCAGTTACTAAAGTTTCGGCTATTTCCATTTTAAAACTCCTCAGTTGCTGAATTTTTTTCACCGGGACATTTTTGCGTAACTCTTTTGCTTTATAATTTAACCATGAATTAGTTGTAGCCAAATCAAACATGTGTGCGATAAATCGCGTTGTCCATTTTCTTGTTCGATATCTCGACGGCGCCACAGCTAAGAGACGATCAGCAAGATCGACTCCTCCCATATTAGAATTATATTGTTTTACTACTTCCGGTCTTGGTACAGTAACATACACTTTATTCTGTTTAAACCATCTTTGGCAGGTGTCGGAAGTTTGGGCAGCATGCACAGTAGACAGGAAAGTGACAGGTTTGTTATCAAACCATTTACTCGTAGTTATAGCTATATTCTTCTCATCGTTGACCAATACCTGACAACTCCCTCTCCCTGCTTTCTTTAAGTCTTTGTCCTCTTTGAGTATTAATCTTGCGGACTTAGGTACTCTATTCTTCATCAATGTACCAGCGCACATCAGGCCTCTGTTTTTTTAATTCCACAATCAGTGTCTCGGTGGTAAAGTACCCATCACAGTAAATTATATGTCCCGGCAACAAATCCTCCGTTAAGGCAAGAACTGCCTTCTCCCAACCCGAACGATGTATCAGCATAAGAAGGATATGTAGTCGCCCCTTGATATATATCAAAATCACACACTTCTCCGGTGGGATTCGCCAAGACAAAAGTTTTTAAACCTGTAGGATTAGGTTTACCTGGGCAATATTACATCCCACAGGCGCCCGTAAAAGGAATTATCATTTCGTCAATTGACAGTTTTTAATCCTTTGGTATGGAATGACAACCCTTAAGAATTTCTTTGATAAGACGGCGAACTTTCCAGAGCTTGTCTTTACTTTTATCTTCGGCAGAAAAGTCGTTGTCATTAACGAGTTTTAAAGAATTCCGAAGAATGAAAAATCTGTTCCGAGACATATGATCAGCTACAAAAGCGACACGAAATTTGTGTTGCCAGTACATTCGGAGAATTGGATATCCAATACAAGACATGGCTAAATTAATTGCAATAAAAATGTAGCACTCGGGAAGTGTCAAATTTAAAAACTGGCCGTTTCTTGATAGATACATCTCATTGGATCTATCTACGATAATTTGCATCAGCTCATCATTTACGTATCGACAAAAATAATGGTTTTACAGAATTCTTCGTCATTAAGAGGTAAATACGATGGCTGCATAAAAGGAATTATATCAGGATTAAAATCTTTTTCTTTCCAACCTCCAAATTGTCCATCGTCATTGCCAATATCCTCGTTATCTTCAGCTTCCACTTGCTGGTACAATCTCCCACGAGATGAACTTCCTCTTCTACTACTTGCTCGAGAAATCGAAGAAATTCTTCGACCACGACGGCCACCTCGACGCTGTAAGCTCCTCCCTCGCGTAACAGAAGAATTAGAAATCGCAGGACTTGAAACAGTAAGCTCACCTTCAGAATCAGAAGACGATTCTGCTGAATTGTCCGATTGACGTTTTCGGCCCTGAGGTCGATTGTGATTACATTATCGATATCATCATCGCCGTCATCATCTTCGAACTCGGATACGTTCAGATTAAGATGATTTTGTATAGCTTCGTCGTCCATGGCTTAAACAAAAGAAAATAAAGTAAACACCCAATGTCCTAAAATCATGACATAGAAATTAGGCTAACTTTTACAATAAAAACCCACCGACCTTATTTGGGACATATTTTTTATCGTTCGAATATTACGGAATTAAAATGACTTTGCTACGAAAAAAAACATGTCGGAACAAAATATAATATATCCGCAACTGTTTGCAATACATTTTAGACATCACCATGTTATGATTATAAAGATATGAATAGATTTACTTACCAATCTCCACGAGACTTCCGTTCACATGAGATGAAATGTCAAAAAGACAGATTCTTGGTTCTTAAATGTCAAGTTGACATTGCCAAAATTAGAGATGCGTTCATAGTTAATAGTTTTTTGATGGCAGATTTAAAATGGCGGGATTATTTAAACCAAAAATTACGTTCAAATATCATGTCATAATTTTAGGTCGCCGAGCCGCAATTTGACGATTTTAAAAGCTGTGTTGGGCCGGAATGCCAAAATATTTTTGTCATTAAATTAGGTCATTGGGCCTTACTAGGCTATAACTAGTCTTTGGAATTTCGATTGCTATCCAAATATACCTCAGATCGTAGACAGAGAAACCTATAGACAAATTGACGCCTTCTTTCGCACTCGCACACGAAAAAGATAGATTTATGCATACGTCTTGCATAGAAATGAGACAGAGCGGTGTGTTTGTTTGTCCCTTTCTCCGTGCCGGTTTTTTTGTTTAGCAAACTACACTTTGGTAAACAACTTTGACAGTTCGTAGCGATCTAAGGAGTTTACAAGTTGGTTTAAGTGAGAAAGAAAGTGTTTTGTGAGCTTAAGATTGGTGAATCTTGTTCAGTTCAGTTCTTAGAACAATAAAATTTTTTATCCAAATATGTTTTAGTCATAAAGATTATTGTATAACCTAAAACTGCGTTATCGTTCTTTCTCACTCGAGGCCACGCTAATCATTAGTCTATAGGTTTCTCTGTGTAGACAGTGCGTTTACCTTTACGTTATTATTAAGTAACAATGACTTATTGCGCATTTTCGTCTTCGTAATAATCTTTATTTCATGATTATTTTTTATGATTAAAGATATGTCATCCGCAAACAAATTCATGGAAATGGAGTTGAATCCGGTAAATCATTTACATAATTTACAAACAAAAAGGGCCCAAGGACGCTTCTCTGAGGAACTCCAGCGTACTTAAGAACTAGTCGCGATCTGAATTTTGTCAAAATATTATTTTTATTAGGGCTTATAGCTTCCACACACTGTTTTCTTGATGATAAGTATGATTTTATCCACTGCAATGTCAGTCCTCTTATTCTATACTTTTCAAGCTTACGTAATAAGGTGTCATGGCAAACAAGCTCAAATGCTTTTGACATATCAAAAAATACACTCGTTACATTTATCCTACTACCATCCACTGCATCGGTGATTCTTTTTAATAGATCAAAACACGCCATCAAGGTTGATTTGTTTTGCTGAAAGCCACACTGTTCTTTTTTATAAATTGGTATTCATTAAAATAATGACTAAGCCTACTGTGCATAGCTTTTTCAAAAATTTTGTAGAAAACTGACAAAATTGTTTTTGGATGATAGTTGTTAATATCTTTTATATTACCTTGCTTAAATAAGTGCTTGATCAAAGATAGTTTTAATGACTCTGGAAAAGCATCTACTTCGAATGATAAATTTATTAAATATTAAGTTAAGTATAGGCGATAGTTCACCCTTGCAGTGTTTAGTTACTTTTGTATTTACGCCATCATAACCTTCACTTCTAGAATTTTTTAAATTAACTATTAATGACTTTGTCTCCTCCAGAGTAATTGGACGTAAAAAACACGCTTTTGCACGGGCTTTTAATATTATACAGGTGTGTTTCTTTCGCATGCTTAAAGTTAACTATCTATATAAATTATAACTATTTTGATTCGTAATCGAGAATAGATGTAGATGTCTATGGGCCACAGCAACCGCTTACCATCAGGTGGACTGTGTGCTCGTTTGTCACCCTATGCTATAAAAAAGTAACAGTAACGAATTTACAGCACAAATAGTTATAACCTTTATAACGAAATGTGTTGTGGATAATTTAGGAAAATTAAATATGGATAAAAATAAAGTACCTACATTTACATTTAAGGCCCGCCACATACTACATACGGAATTCCGAAACGGATCGAACGGGTCGGCCACACACGTATGGAATCCCGTTTTGCCCGCAAAATTTCGAACTGAAAATTACCGTAGGTGTGTGATGGGTCATTAATTTATATGGAATTGCAGCGGTCGGAATCGCAAATCGGAATTCCGAAACGGAATCCCAAATCGGATTTCCGTACGTATGTGGCCAGCCTAACTTGTAAGCAGAGGCGGATTAAGGCCCACCACATACTACATACGGAATTCCGTTTTGAGATTCTGAAACGGAACTAACGGGTCGGCCAAACAGATATGGATTCGCATTTTGCCCTCGAAATTCCGTACGGAAAGCTACCGTAGGTGTGTTCGGGTCATTGATTTTATATGGACTTGCTGCATTCGGAATCCTGAATCGGAATTCCGAAACGGAATTACGAAATGTAATTTTGATTGTATGTGGCCGGCCTAAATGTCGACAGCGCCCTAGGCTTGCACCTCACCGGCGCCCCTCTAGCGGTCATATATTATAAATTATAACTATTTATTCCGCAAATAAGCTATACTTATAGACAAATTTATAGGAACGCAAAAAAGGTTTAATTTCTTTCGTTTAATGCAGGTGGCTCAGGACCGTGCTTTGTGGCATTACTTGGGGAAAGCCTATGTTCAGTAGTGGACTTTTGAAGGGCTGTAATGATGATGATGAGCAGATTTAAATTTAACTTAAATTTAGCCTAATTATGATGACTTATATATGTTTCTACAAAAAAATGTGCATAATAGTATATTCGTCTTATACTTAAGTACCCACAAAAATGTCGCATCTATACAAATTAATTTCATAATCTATATTTCATGACACGAGATGGCGTCTTAGGAACAATTTGTCTTGAATGCCTTGTTTATCGTGTTAAGTGTGAATTGTTACTCCAAATAAACTGAGAATGCCAGATCTAAACGCCACTTAATTTGCTAGGGCTGAAACAGCACTTCAATTCTCCCGGGGCTAAGCTACAAAACCTTTTTATACGTGGTATAGGCATGCTGCAGTTATATTAGTAGTAATGGTTGTAGCACAAATGGTTTGGCTCGACCGGGGAAGGACCACGCTCTCACAGAATACCAGCGTAAAATAGTAGCTTAATGCTGCTGTGTCTCGTATGGTGAGTGTAGAGAATCGGAGACCCTTTTTTTACTGGAAATGAGGAATTCCATTTTAGTCCTCACGGGTGACAACGCATCCGAATTTAAATTTGTAATCGAGGATAGATGTAGATTGTCTATGGGCCACAGCAACCACTTACCATCAGCTGGACTGTGTGCTCGTTTGTCACTCTGACTTATAAAAAAAAAAAACAAGAACACAGAAGTGCAAGCATTAGGCGGCAGGAATAACTAAAATGTTGATAACTACCCAGAAGGACTTCACGCTAGAAGCCATCCAAGCCAACCAAGCTACGTGATAGAGTGGCTATGTAAAGGAATCTCATACGCTATCCTAACCGATGGGTTCAGTATTTCACATCATGATCAACATTACGCCAAGAAGCAATAGATGATACCACAATGTTTGACATTTTTAATACAATAAGTAATGTCCAGCAGTGGAGTTTTATAGGCTCTAATGATAATGATGATTTCAACCCAGAGAAAAAGGTTTACGGGCTAAGCACTTGTCATAAATCTTACAGTACGCGAGCAACTTGAGCTCGATCCTTGCTGGCACCTATGAAATTATTTATGGCAATTGATTGGACAGGAGATGAGCGACAGCAGCTCCCTGATAACAACTCAATTTAAAAAAACTGCATTTGCCAACTAACCTGCCAAGTATGGCACTTTTTACGTGGTAGAGCCATGTTGCAGTTATATTAGAAGTATAGTTGTAGCACGAATGGGTCGGCTCGACCGGAGAGAGACCACGCTCTCACAGAACACCGGCGTAAAATAGCAGCGTAATGCTGATGTGTTTCGTGTACTGAGTGTAGAGAACCGGAGACCCTTTTAACTGGAATCGAAGCATTCCATTTTAGTCGTCAGGGGTGACAACGCATTTGCATTTTTATTCTTAATTGAGGATAATGGAGGATGTCTATAAGACACAGCAACCACTTACCATCAGCTGGACTGTGTGCTCCTTTGTCACCTTATCCTATTAAAAAAAACTATTGCAATCTGTGAGAGAGACCTATGTTCAGCAATAGACAACGAGCACGCAGTCCGACTGATTAGTAAGTGGATACTGTGACTGTGGCTCATACTCATAAGCAATAGACATGTGGCCGTGGAAGGCTAAGGAGAGATCTCCCGACGGGCAAGGTGTTCCTCCCGGGGAGCGATCAACGCTCCGAGTGATAGATCGGAGCTATTTTATATATACTGTTTTACTTTGGAACTTTGATAGCGCGATTTACACAGTAAATCCAAATGCAGGTGAGACCAACAAGGAGATGGGCAGCAGCGTCTGCCAAGCGTGCCATCGATGGCAAATATCCTCTTTATGAGGCAACCTACTGGCAAGGCTTTTGTTCAGCAGTGGACTTTTGATACACGCTGTACTGTGGCTGTTACTTTACGTATTCTATCTCAGTCTTTAGGTGACAACTTTCTAGTAAGTCTGTGGCGACAACACATCTGTATGCTTCTTTGTTTACAGTTCTCACTAGGCTGCAGTAACCACTTACCAAATGTTGGAACGTTAGCTTAAATATTATAATTTTTTAAATATGTATTATTTTACTATAATTATACAATTAATATAAAAAAGAAAAGAGATCTGATGCCTGGTACCAACATTAAGACCCTACAAGAAAGATAGATGGGTAGAAAGTTCTTTGTTGCACTCAAAACAATTTGGTACAAAGCACTACATAATCACTCACGCCTGTCACCTAGAGTGGTAGGCAGAGACTACAGACTTCCATTTGGCACGATCCTGACATACCTCTCTCGCCTCTTCCACATCCATATACCTACGCATAGATTCTCGTCGGTTAAGGGTACTCTTAATTTAGCCTCTTTTCAATAGATCGCCAATTTGATCAACAAACTTTCGCTAGGGCGTCCCTTACCGACGCTGCCGTTCACTTCTGCAACATAAATTTGCTTTGAATAAAACTATTATTTACGGATTTTATCGCGTTTAATATCTTTAATTTATTTTT